ATCAAGAAAAACGATTCCCACCCTCAGGGAATGTGGAAGGGTTGTGGAAGGCAATACCCTCTGGGAGAGATCCTGGGGGCCCATTGTTCCCAGACTGAGAATGGGACCAGGATGAGGGTGGTAAAGCCCCTCTTGGGCACTTATTCTGCCCTGTCCAGAGAGCCTTGTGTGTATGACCTCCCTTAGCATGACAGCTCTGCCTATAGGGGATGGTACTCTCCAATTAGAGAGGAGGAAGCTACAGCCCAGGGATGTAACTTGCACAAGATCACACATTCGGTGAGTGGAGGACCTGGGATTCGGATCCTACTCTGGTTGATTCCAGATACCCCATGCCTGCCCGCGGCATGCTAGGGCCAGACTCCTCCCACAACCCCAAGCCACTGCCCAGACTCACATCTTGCCGGGTTGTTGCATAGTGAAGAATCCCGTCCTCCAGCACAAAGTATCTCTTTGATGTTGCCCAGGAGTGACAGGACCGGGGAGGCCGAGAGGAAGGACATGAGGGAGAACCACACAGATCGGCTTTTCCTTCCCTTCTCATCATGCAAACCCCATTGCACTCCCCGGCAGCTGCCCCCATTCCCACCTGCCGCCATGTGTGGCCCCTCCCTCTGCCTGCCCGCCCTACCTTGTGCCAGCCCTTCAGAGGCCACTTCCTCTTCTTGAGCAGGTGGCCCTCCTGCCTCTCAGGCATGACACCCTCTGTCCCCAGCCTGCCCTGAGGCTCCTCCACCACCTCCCACAGCTCAGAGGCCTGCAGTGCAGGACAGAGGAAGGAGAGCACTGGTGAGACATCAGCCTCAGCCATCCCGGTCTGGATCAAGCTTGGCCCACCCACCACTTTCCCACTCTCTGACCTGCTGAGCACTGCTGGGCTTTGAGGACTGAGCACTCTCAGGCAGGAAGGGAGGATCCCTCTCTTGGAAGTCCATGGAGAAGGGAGAGGCTGCTCCCTGCTGAGGACGAAGAGCAGGGAGCAGGGTGGAAGGGGAAGGATGTCACCTGGTCCTGACAGGGTCCTTGAAGCAAAAGAAAGACCCCATTAATGCAGACCTGCTATCACCTTCCCCACCTCCAACCCCTCCCGTACCCTCTGATATAAGAGCTCTCAACACACCCTCTGCTCACCTGCCACGCCTCTCCTAACTCTGCCCCTCTGCTCCAACCCCACCCATTTTCACCCGATATGGATATTGCCCTGAGAGGTGAACTAGCACACAGCAGACGGGCAGGTGCCCAGGGAAACAAGACATATGCCCAGCCCCGCCTTGGGCACATACTCTGGGGCTCCAGGAAACCTTCAGGGCTTTCTTTGGAGGCTTCCCTGGGAGTGTTCAGAGGTGAAGCAAGGGAGTGACAGAAGAGGCTCCAAGAAGAGACAGAGGGGTTCAGAGACTGGACAAGTGAGACCTCCTGAATCCAGCTGCCTTGCCCTCAGTACCCCTCCGCCCTGCCACCATGGCTCAGAGGCTTCTCTCCCACGATCCCTTTGCAGAAAATGCCCCAGCCTCCCACCGATTGGTCTCCATATTCTTTAGTGTTTGGAGAAACTGAGGCCTGAGATAGCCCCCACTTTCCCATGTCTCCTCCCACCAAATATGTCCCTAGGATGCCCTCTTTGGACCCTCAGTGCCCCCTAAAGCCTCACCATCCCGTCTACCATCCCAGTCCTTAGGGCTCTGAGAAGTGCCACCCACCCCGAGAGGGCAGGACACTGGGCTAATGAAGACACTGCACAAGAGAAGAGGGGGCCCAGGACATGCCCAGGTCTGCACAGGTCCTGCAGCAGTGCCCACAGGCACCCTTGGCACCGGCCCTGGCTATCCTGGCTCCTCCGGGAGATCAATAATGCATGAGGCTCTGCGTGTGTGAGACGGGGGAGGGGACTGAGGGGCGAGGCTGGCTGAGGTGGGGGAAGCAGCCCAGATCTAATGCAGCTAGCAAGCACCTGAGGAACTTAAGCCAAGAGGGGACAGGGATGTGGTAGGAACAAGTGCCCAGGAGGTCGGGGCAGAGGGACCTTGCTGCAAGAGGCTGACCTGGGAGGAAACTCCTGCATTCAGCCATTGAAAGTTCCCAAACTCTTCCGGTGTTCGGGTGTCTCTGCGCCCTTCTCCCGGCCCTGTGGGGATCCTGGCCCCTCACTGCTTGCGGGTGGAGGGGGAGGCTCTATCAGCAGGAAGGTGAGGGGTCTAGGCGAGTCTGGTGGGTGCCCCTCTCCACCTCCATTCCCACCATCTCGGAAGCAGACTCACCAGCTTCAGGTGGGAGGAAGCTCTTCTCCAGGAATGTCAGCTGCTGCCACGCAGCCCCCTTACCTCAGGGTCCATGGACGCCAGTGCTCCTTGGCCCTCACGCCGCTCTGCCTCTGAGTCACCAGCTCCAAGTCACCGGCTCCCTCCTCACGGAGATGAGCAGTGGCAGCAGTTGCTGCAGGAACCAGGAAGGAGACGTCGGAGCCTCCCCTCTAGCCGGATCTCCCCACCTCCCTTTCCCCTGTCCCCTCCTCCTGCCAAGCTCTGGGCAGCCGCTCAGCTCTGCCCCCCTGCTCCCCGGAGGACTCAGGGCTAAGCAGACTGCCCTAGCATGGTTGTGGCTTGGGAGCGGGGGCACAGTCCCCACTGGGCATAGTTCCAGATAGATCAGAGGACTGGGAAACTGCTGGCTGTATGCCAATGTTGGTAAAGGATTTATTCAGATTAGCATGGCAATGACCCTGTTAGTGCCCAAGGCCAATTCCTAACTAACCCTCCCACCCCCATCTCTCATTTTACATCTGAAAATAGACTGCAAAATTTGGAGCCAGCAAAAGTATCAGGTTGACGGTACAGGGACAGATGCCCCCTCCGGGACCATAAGAGAGTGCCAAAGAGCACAGTCAGCAGGGCCGGTCAAGTCAGGAGGGGGACAGCCAGTAGTCCCCACACTGAGGCCTTTCATTAGGGGTGATTTCCCACCAGGTCAGGCCCCATGGGGATCTGAAAATGCCTGTGCGGTTGATGACACCCCACAGCCTACAGTGTTTGATCAGGAGCAGGCCTGGGGCAGTCACAGCTGCTGTTAAAAGGGCTGTAACACTGGTCCCCTCACTTCCCTTTGCCCTTCTGCTGGAGTACTGTGCCCAGCTGCTCAATTCTAATGAAAAATCGGCTCTTAACAAAGATCTAAAATTCATTCAAATGAATGTGGCACAGACCTTACAGCTTTAAGTGCAGCAAAGTGTTCTGGAAAGAAGTAGGTGGGGCCTCAGGTGAGGGATGAGATTCAAGTTTCTTCTCCGACCCCAAAAGTGACATAGGCCACTTATCCCCTCCACTTCATCCTCACTGGGCTTGGTTTATGTTTCAGGGTCTCACATATCTCTCGGGGACACCTGCTGTCTTGGCTCTATTCAGAGCCTCAGCATTGCTCCAGCCACCCCAGAAGGAAGGCGTTGTTAGCACCTGGCAGGGTTCTGGGAGGGATAAAGCTGCTAAGGAGCACTGGGCAGCACTGGCCAGACAAGCTCTGGCATCTAGGAGCCTCAAGGGCCTTTTAAGCCACTTCCCAGTGATTGAACATCCCTGGGCATACAGCACAGGGAGAGGCACTGTGGGAAGCTGGTCCTGGCCCAGGCCACAAAAAAGCTGCTGTAGATCATCCCTGCCAGACAGTGCCTGTCCAAGACTAAGGAAGCGGTGGTATTGCTTCAACTCCGAGAAGAAATGTTGAATAGCCACCATCCCCGGGTCACCCCTGCATCCACCCAGAATGTGCTCCAATCGAGGACGACGGTGCGCTTCGAATTAAGCATCCTATCTTCCTTTTTAGGAACTTCTGGTTCACCAAGACTTGCATGAGGCCTCCTACTCTAGAGCCCTCAGAATTCACAGAGAAACCTAGTTTCCCCCAGCCCTTTTGTTCAGAACCACCAGACTTGCTAGCTAGTAGGCACAGCTGTCAGCTGCCTTTAACAGGGCAAGCATGCACTGGATGCCACTGTGGCAACAGGTACAGGGGAAAAGGATTTTCCTAGGAAGGGAAGTGAGAGTGAGGAGTCAGAGGACAGAGAAGCCCCTGAGAATAAGTCTATAGGGAGGACAACTGTGGAAACCATGAAACAGAGGAAGTAGAATGCATTTCATTTGAGCATAAAGCAGTGCTCCCAATCTTTCCACAGCATGGCACACCCCAAGGGTGGAGAACTAACATCCAAGCACACCAGGATGGAAGATGGGACCCACTTCTGGGTAGCCTGATGAGGAAGCTCCAGTGTAGAAATTCAGGATGCAGTCTTCAGAGCAGAGAGGGCCTGGTTCAAGTTCCTGTTCTACCACTTACTAAATGCATGACCTTGTGCAAGCTACTTAATTTCTCTGTTCCTTCTCTGTGAAATGGGTACCATGTGGTCAGGAGTTCAGGAACTAATACATGTACAGTGTTCAGCATGGAGCCTGGCACACAGCAGGCTCTCACCAGGTGCCATCCTCAGCACGGCTGCTTGGTTGAGCTACTATGGCAGTGGCAGGTTGTGATTCAAGAGGGTAGGCTCAGGAGCCCATGCAGCAAGGGGCAGTGACCAAGGAGGCAAGGGGTAATAGCCTTCTCTTTTCAGCATCTCTGCCTTGGACCTGGAGAATGGAGAGAGACTTTGCTCCTATCAGGTCCCAAGTTGGGAAAACTAAGGACAAAGCCAGTGACTGACAGCCTCCATTTGAAATGGAATCCTCCACATCTCAGAGTGGCCTATACTTGACAATATCATTGTTAGTGAAACCCAAATGACAAATGCACTCCCTCACCCCAGGTTCTTCCACATCTCCCATGGAGGACAGCACAGCCAATAGGGCAGAGTGTATTTATAGGCAGGGCTGACTAAACAGGCTGGCTACGAGTCTGGAACATGGTCAGGAGGATCTGGCTTCCCATTGGCTGACACAACAGAATCCTCGCGTTGCTGTCTGATGTACTGGTCCAACAGGGTGGTCAGCTGGAGGGGCTGGTGCTGGAGCAGGGAGTGGGTCTGGGCCGTGATGCAGGTGAGGCCTCCTACAAGCTCCCCCTGCACCAGGGGCAAGCTGGGGAGCTTGGAGTAGTTGATAAAGCCCTCCCTGCTGAGGATGGTGTCATCGATGCAGCCACCTGGAAGAAAACAGGATCAGTTCAGTTCCTTGCAGATACCTTTCTTCTCTGAAACAACATTCTGACTCTAGGAATTTGCTTTCCATTGCACTTGTCAAAATCCTGCCTCCCCCAGGACCTGGGTTCCACTGTGCCCATGCCACTCCCACTCTCTTGAGATCAATCCCTACTTCCTCACTCTTCCCTCAGAAAACTCTTAATGTATCCACCTGGCCCCGACTCCCATTTAGTGTTTCCTAAACTTCCCTGTAAATAAGAATTAGGCGGCCAGGTGCAGTGGCTCATGCCTGTAATCCCAGCACTTTGGGAGGCTGAGGTAGGTGGATCACCTGAGGTAAGGAGTGTGAGACAAGCCTGGCCAACATGGTAAACACTACCTCTACTAAAAACACAAGAATTAGCCAGGAATGGTGACAGGCACCTGTAATCCCAGCTACTCAGAAGACTGAGGCAGGAGAATCCCTTGAACCCGGGAGGAAGGGGCTGCAGTGAGCCAAGATCGTGCTACTGTACTCCAGCCTGGGTGACACGAACAAAACTCCATCAAAAAAAAAAAAAAAAAAAATCAGGCTGGGTGCAGTGGCTAACACCTATAATCCCAACACTTCTGGAGGCCAAGGCTAACACCCATAATCCCAACACTTCTGGAGGCCAAGGCAGGAGAATTGCTTGAGCCTAGCAGTTCAAGACCAGCCTGGGTAACATGGTGAAACCCCACCTCCACAAAAAATACAAAAATTAGCCAGGCATGGTCGCATGTGCCTATAGTCCCAGCTACTCAGGAAGTTAAGGTGGGAGGATGGATTAAGCCAAGGAGGTCCAGGCTGTTGTGAGTCATGACCGGTCCACTGCACTCTGGCATGGGCAATGAGAGTGAGACCCTGAATCATGGAATGGAAGGAAGTAATGGGAGCTATTGTTTAACGGGTGTAGTTTCAATTTTAGAAGATGAAACGTTCTAGAGATGGATGGTGGTGAGGTTGTATAGCATTATGAATTTACTTAACACTGAACCGTACACTTAAAATGGTTAAGATGGTAAATTTTATGTTACGTGTATTTTATGATTAAAAAGTTGAATAAATATCATGGAGTGTGGAGGGGGTATTAAAATCACAGATTCGCCAGGCACGGTGGCTAACGCCTATAATCCCAGCACTTTGGGAGGCCGAGGCAGGAGGATCACCTGAGGTCAGGAGTTCAAAATCAGCCTGATCAACATGGTGAAACCCCATCTCTACTAAAAGTACAAAAAAAATTAGCTGGGCATAGTGGCAGGCACCTGTAATCTCAGCTACACAGAAGGCTGAGGCAAGAGAATTGCTTGAACCCAGGAGACAGAGATTGCAGTGAAGCCAGATTGCACCACTGCACTCCATTCTGGGCGACAGAGTGAGACTCTCAAAAAAATAATAATAATAATCAGATTCCTATCCCGCCCCCTCCCTACAGAGCCCTATGAAATCTTGATTTCCAGGGGACACATGCAGTATTCTCTATCCCTTAAGTAAGTCAGCATTAGGGCAGTCTGGGAAACACTGGTCACTTGCCCTCAGCACTCTTGACTTGGGCTACCTGTTTTAAATATCGTCATCTGTATGGGTTTCAGCATCTGCCACCCCACTGTTAGACTCAATGTATCTGAATTTTCTCCCCCCGTTCCATGTCTGCCTTCCCTAGTCTTCCCTACAGTGCAGAAGTGACCTGGGGTAGTGAGACAACACAAATGTCTGAATGACAGCCCTCAATAAACGTGCTGTTGACTCAGGCCCCATCCATGAAAGGATGTTCTCTCCAAGAATGTCCACAGTTTTACCAAGACAAGCCTAGCAGATGGCAGCAGGCTGCCGCAGCACCTGCCCCTCTTCACCCCACCCCTAACTGGCAGGGTTGCTTGCTCACCTAGCAGCGGCAGGAATGGCACAGTCCTTAAGATCCGTACCATCTCCTTGACCTTGGGCTCTTCACTGACCAGCAGCATGTTGTGCCCCACAAAAAGGGGCAGCAGATTTTGGTACTTGGAATCCTCCAGGAAAGGCCTCAGGACCTGGGACAGCATAAAAAAATGGCTTATCAGGGACAAGTGGGAGGAAGAGCCACCACGTGGGTCATGGGCCACATTAGGCTGAGGGTACAACCCAAGGGTGGCTCACAGAGAGGAGGAGTAAGAAGTATCATCACTGGGGAACAGATGGTGAGGTCTGAGGTCTGGTGGGCTTTGGGGGAACATACGCAACCCATGCCAAGGGGCCCACTCCCTACCTGGTTGGGGTAGACCTTCACTAGGATCTTGTGTTTCCGCAGCCGGTGTCGCATAAGAAGCTTGTCCTCTGCGCTCAGAGCCACATTCTGGCAGACAGCTATCATTCGGTTGTCCTGGAAAACCGCTGCTATCTCCCGGCGGAGAAGCCTGATGAGGCCTGTCTCCTGAAGTTAGAAAGCGATGCCCAAGGGTTTATCAGCTGTCACTTCTCCTGGCAACCTTGCTCCCTCTGTGGTAGGTTCTAGGGCTTCCAGGGATCCCCAAATGCACAAAAGATCAGGGAACAAGTAGGATAATTGGGCCCCCGACTCTCAGGGACATGTAACATCTCCCACTCCTCTAGCCTTTCACTTTCATTAGATATTCGCAGTCTTTAGCAGTGTTTTCCAAACCTGAGAATGCTCAGTTCCACTCCCCCGAAAACAGGTCTACAGTCTGACAATAGTGTCAACAGTGCTTGACAATAATATTGTCAAAATTACTTCAATCATCAATCTGGTACTATACTCACGTTGAATTATTTTACCAATCATAACTGTTGTGCAGTGTTAGTTTCAAATTGAGACATTTGGCTGGGCACAGTGGCTCATGCCTGTAATCTCAGCATTTTGGGAGGCCGAGGCGGGTGGATTGCTTGAGGCCAGGAGTTTGAGACCAGCCTGGCCAACATAGTGAAACTCTGTCTCTACTAAAAATACAAAAATTAGCTGGGCATGGTAGTACGTGTCTGTAATCCCAGTTACTCAGGAGCCTAAGGCAGAAGAATTGCTTAAACCCAGAAGGCAGAGGTTGTGGTGAGCCGAGAATGTGCCACTGCTACCAGCTTGGGTGACAAAATGAGACACTGTCTCACAAAAAAAAAAAAAGATAGGAGAGATACTCTCCCCAGCCGTACCTGCTAGGGTAGCTCTCACATCTACATTTTTGAAGACAAGAAGGAAATTCAGGAGGCCCGTCCAATCCAGAGCCCAAAAGCCAATATAGAATCAAGTGCAGATTTCATCTTAAAGTATCTGAATCAGGCAAAGTGAAATATCACATGAGTGACAATGACTGAGAGTCGTACTTCACTATGGCCAGAGACAAGATTACTTTCATCCACCATCCCACCACCAAGTGACATGTACCCAAACTCTTCCTTACTTCCTGTGGGGGGCTGGGAGGAGATGGCAGGCATGTTGGGTTGACAGCTGGTTTCGGGGGGATATATTCAGTCACAGCCATCAGCTTCTGTCGCTGAAAGTGCATCACACGACGGTGGCGGGTAACAGCCTTGGAGCCATAGCGGACGGTCTGGAGGGTAGGCAGCTGACCTGGGAGGGTATATAGCAGCATCCTTAGATGCAACCTCTTGGAGGCCCTAGTTTATCCTAGATAGAGAAAAAACACTCCCTAGCAAAGAAAACCACAGCTCACAGAGCTAGACTCAGCACAACAGTGGGACAAGGATTTGTCTGCCAAAAATTCTGAATTTCCAAAGCTTCTCTTCTCTCAGTAAGTGACCTGTGGTCAATTACTTAATACCTTGAGGCTCCCATTTCTCCAGCTCTTCTTTTTTTTCTCACCAGTCTGGAGTGCAGTGGCGTGATCTCAGCTCACTGTAACCTCTGCCTCCTGGGTTCAAGCGATTCTTCTGTCTCAGCCTCCCAAGTAGCTGGGATTATAGGCACGTGCCACCATGACCAGCTAATTTTTTGTATTTTTAGTAGAGACGGAGTTTCTCCATGTTGACCAGGCTGGTCTCAAACCCTAGACCTCAAGTGATCTGCCCACCTCAGCCTCCCAAAGTGCTGGGATTACAGGTGTGTGCCACCGCATCCAGCCTCCGGCTATTCTTAATGTGCAGAAATGCAAGAAAAAAATGAGAAGAAAGGAGAAAATATTTTGAACACATTAAGAAAAGAGGTGGCCGGAGGCAGTGGCTGATGCCTGTAATCCCAAGACTTTGGGAGGCCGAGGTGGGTTGGATTACTTGAGGTCAGGAGTTTGAGACCAGCCTGGCCAACATGGTGAAAACCCATCTCTACTAAAGATACAAAAATTAGCTGGGCATGATGGCGTGTGTCTGTAATCCAAGCTACTCAGGAGGCTGAGGCAGGAGAATCGCTTGAACCTGAGAGGCAGAGGTTGCAGTGAGCCAAAACTGCACCACTGCACTCCAGCCTGGGCAACAGAGTAAGACTCCATCTCCAAAAAAAAAAAAAAAAAAAAGTGGAGGGAAGGAGGATAGAATTGAATACACTTTTTCTCAAAATGGTCAAATAGTAAATATTTTAAGTTTGGGGCCCATGTAATCCTTCTCTAATACCCAACTCTGCCAAAAGCAGCCACAGACAGTACGTAAACAGATAGCAGAAGCTATGTACCAATAAAACTTCATAAAACACAGTGACTGGCCCTGCCATAACATGCCAACCCCTGGTCTAATCTAGTGGCTCTCAAGATATGCCCGCCTCCAACCCAACCAGCAACATCAGCATCATTTGAGAACTGGTTAGAAGTAGAAATTTTGCTGTGTGTGGTGGCTCACGCCTGTAATCCCAGAACTTTGGAAGGCTGAGGTGGGCAGCTCACTTGAGGTCAGGAATTCAAGACCAACTTGGCCAACATGGCAAAAACCCATCTCTACTAGAGTACAAAAATTAGCCAGGCATGGTGGCGCACACCTGTAATCCCAACTACTTGTGTGGCTGAGCCATGAGAATCGCTAGAACCCAAGAGGCAGAGGTTGTAGTGAGCCGAGATTGTGCCACTGCACTCCAGCCTGGGTGACAGCAAGACTCTCAAAAAAAGAAAAAAAGGAATATAAATTGTCAGGCCCTGACTAGACCTACTGAATCAGCAACTCTGGGGTAGAGCCTAACTCTAGGGTGGAGCCCAAAAAATAGTGTGCTGTTTATTTGTTTTGTTTTCTAGAGACCAGGTTTCACTGTTACCAAGGCTGGTCACAAATGGTGTCTTAACAAGCCCTCCTGGTGATGCTGACACATGCTAAAGTTTGAAAACCACTGCTCTAACTACTACTGTGACATCCTCTCCTATGATTTGAAGAGGAGAAAAAAAGTTACACCATCCTCACAGCTCAAACAAGTTTCTCTTTCCTCCTCTCTTCCTGTTTACAGGCAATGCTACACAGCACCCCACAGTAAACGAGGCACTTAAAAGCCCTGAGCCAAAGTGACCCCTTCATCCTCAACACAGACTAGAACTTCCCACTTTCAGCCATTCCCAAGGCTGAGATGTGACCTCAGAAAATGGTCCAGATAGAAGGCAGCTCTAGCAATCAGAGGGTATGGACATTTGCTGGAGTAAGAGGTCTTATTGCCAGCAGCTACAAAACCTAACCGTTAAGACTGTAGGCACGCTTTGAAATCAAATGAAGCTGGATTTTTTTTTTTTTTTTTTAGACAGTCTCACTCTGTCACCCAGGCTTGAGTGCAGTGGTGCGATCTCGGCTCACTGCAACCTCTGTCTTCCAGTTGTAAGCGATTCTTATGCCTCAGTCTCCCGAGTAGCTGGGACTACAGATGTGCACCACCACACCCGGCTCATTTTTGTATTTTGAGCAGAGGTGGGATTTCACCATGTTGGCCAGGCTAGTCTCGAACTCCTGACCTCGGGTGATCCGCCCGCCTCAGCCTCCCAAAGTGCTGGGATTACAGGCGTGAGCCACTGCACTCGGCCGAAACTGGATTTTAATCTTTCTTCCGCCACTTAATAGCTGTGACCTTGGCCACCCAACTGGTCTGAATTCCAGTTGCTACGTCTGTAAAGAGGAGGTGGGAATGTCTTTCTCACAGGGTGCTTTAGATTTAAATGATTTAAAAGATTTAAATGAGCGAACACATATAAAAACAGTTATCACAGTGCCTGGCCTATATTAAGTGTTCAAATCTATTCATTAAACAAATATTTATTACACACCTACTAACATCAAGCACCTCCATCTTAATGTCTCAGCCTAAATGTCACCTGCTGGCTATGCTGAATGAACACGGTTCTGCCCTTAAGGAGTTTAATAGAGGAAACAAACAACTAAACGAATGCAAAATTAGATTGCGACGCAGCTAATGAGTCAAGGAAAGACTTGAGAAGGTGACACTTAGGATGAGACATTAAGATGGAGGCATAATGCAAAGGTCTGGACGAGGAGTGGTCCAAGCAAAAGAAACGCTGGAGACCGGCAACAGCTGGACGTTGTTGCTGTGATTACCAGAGTCTGGAGCACAAGGAACTGGACGGGGTGAGGAGGCCAGCGATCTAGCTGGGGTCAGAGATTATGGGAAGAATCAGTAGTAGAGGAGGGCAGATGAGGACTAGAGATCGCCGGCAAGACACGCCGTGAGGACCTGAGTCACTCCTTACCCGCCTGGGGCAGGAGACCCCCTCGCAGCATCCCCGCCACAGCCGCAGCCATATCCACCGGAAGGATGGACGGAAGCCGAAAGAAGACGGAAAGAGCTAAGGATTGTGGGGTAGCGAACCCTGGGGCCGGAAGCAGTGGGCTTACCCGCCGGCTACGTTTCTAGCACGCATGCGCTGAGCCGGCCAACGGAGCCTGCGTTTACCGCCCCACGCGGCGTCCAATCTCCTAGCAACGACTCCGGCTTCCTAGGAACTGCTCCTTTCTCAACCATTCCTGCCCACAACACCCCAACTTGCTGCCAGCAAAGCCCCTCCACACCCCTCAAACTCCAGACCCTTTACATCAATTTACTGTTCTCTTTGACCTCACCCCAGGAATTTTCTCTGAATCAATCCCTTTTCCTCGTCTCCCAGGTCTCTGAGTTTCTCTTTCCTCCTGCCATCCTGGGTTCCCGCCACCCTTACGGACCGCCCAGGCTGCTAGGCTCCTTTTCATTCTTCTCCAGCCTCAGACCAGCAGCCTTTTATTTTAGTTCATGGCTGGAGGTGAGTATGGAGGTGAGACAGTGGGTAGAGCAGTTGGAAAACAGTGGGGTTAGGCCTCCAAGAATGAGGAAATGTGACTGTTGGACTCATCTTTTCACAGCTAAGTCTGCCCAGGGTCCAGAGGAAGGGGGCGTCTGCATCACTGTAGCCCTTATCACTAAGCGGAACTTGACTTTCCCTGAGGATGAGGAACTGTCAGAGAAGATGTGAGTTCATTGGGGAGGAAAGGGATGCTAGAAGGCTGAAACACTCAGGATGACCAGGTCCCTGGGCTGTACTTATTTGTCAACTGATCTTTGTGTCTCTCCTTACTTACTCCACACATCCAATCAGTGGTAATGTCCAGTTGATTTTCCCTCCTTAAAAATAATTCCATTTCTGTCCGGGCATGGTGGCTCATGCCTGTAATCCCAGCACTTTGGGAGACCGAGGTGGGCGGATCACTTGAGGTCAGGAGTTTGAGATCAGCCTGGCCAACATGGCAAAACCTCATCTCTACTAAAAATACAAAAATTAGCTGGGCGTGGTGGCGGGCGCCTGTAATCCCAGCTACTTGGGAGGCTGAGACACAAGAATCGCCGGAACCTGGGAGGCGGAGGTTGCAGTGAGCCGAAATTGTGGCCCTGCACTCTAGCCTGGGCAAAAGAGTGCGCCTCTGTCAAAAAAAAAAAAAAAAAAAAAATCCATTTTTTTTCCCACCATCCTCACTTAACTGCCTTAGATAAGGTCGTGTTCACCTCTTTCCTATAATCCCAGCACTTTGGGAGGCTGAGGCAGGAGGATCGCTTGAGCCCAGGAGTTTGAGACCAGCCTGGACAATAGAATGAGAATCCTATCTCTAAAAATAAAAGTAAATTAGCTGAGCATGGTGGTGCACACCTGTAGTCCTAGCCACTTGGGAGGCTGAGGCAGGAGGATCACTTGAGCCCAGGTATCTGTGGCTGCAGTAAGCTATCATCATGCCATTGCATGCCAGCCTGGGCAACAGGGTGAGACCCTATTTCTAAAACAAACAAACAAAAAATAAAGTATTTTTAATTACTGTTTTAGAGACAGTGTCTTGCTCTGTTGGCCAGACCAGTCTTGACTCCTCAAACAATCCTCCTACTTCAGCCTTCTGAGTAGCCAGTGATCCTTTTAAATAACAAATCTAATCAGGCACTCACTGATAGAAACTTCCTTGGCTATTACCTCCCAAATAAAATCCCAATGCCTAAGCATGAGTTGACTTCTGCTAGCTTTTCAGTCTTATTTCTGGCCACTCTCCGCAAGTGTACAATTTCCCACACTGTGTTATCACACCTTAATACCTTACTACTTGGAGTATGTGTGAGGGGGTGCAGGGGTAGGGCAGCAGCATTGGTATCACCGTGTGGCTTGTTAGAAGTGGAGAATCTCAGCCCCTCCCCCGATCTCCTGAATTAGAATCTGCATGGGCATATTAGAGTTCCCTTTGAAATGCTTTCTTCCCATATCCCCCTATCTTCATGGCTAATGCCTACTCATCTGTCACCTCCTCTAGGAAGTATTCCCTGATTCCTTCTACTCTGAACTTAGTGCACAGGCTACGTACTCCCTTTGTCCCCTGTACTTGCCTCTGTTACCCACTTGTCATAGATGTTTGGCCTGCTGCTTCTTCTTTCTTTTTTTTTTGAGATGGAGTCTCACCCTGTCACCCAGGCTGGAGTGCAGTGGTAGGATCTCGGCTCACTGCAACGTCTGCCTCCCAGGTTGAAGCGATTCTCCTGCCTCAGCCTCCCATGTAGCTAAGACTACAGGTGTGTGCCACCATGCCAGGCTAATTTTTTTGTATTTT